GACACTACCAGAGGGGCTGCGACCTTCTATCAAGTAATACAAGCAGCCCTGGGCCACTCAGCTGGCTGGGAGTCTGGGAAAATACCTGGTCTCACTTTCCCTTCTCCTCCTCCTGCTAGGAAGCCAGGATACAAGGGAGCCATAGATGTCCATGTGGCTAAGCCTCTTGAGGCCCAGATCAGGGTGGGGAAGGTAGACAGAATTATGGATATAATACACATGCCATACACCTTGTATGCCACCATCCCACATACCCACACCCAGCTGCAGCAAGGATATTAGTTCTTCAATGCTGAGTAACAGAGCATCTCATGTTAGTGACTTAAAACAACAGCCATTTATTATCTCACAGTTATTATTATGATTATTAATTCACAGCTCAGAAGTCCAGCACAGGATGGCTCAGCCAGGTCCTCTGCTTAGCCAGTCTCACAGGGCTGAAATCACAGTACTGTATCCCTCTCTGGAAGTGTCCATGCCCATTTAGGCTGTAGCAGAACCCAGTCCTTGCGGTCATAGGACTGAAGTCCCCGTTTGCTGCTTATCAGCCAGGAGGTTAGTCTCTGGAAGTTACCTTATTCCTTGGCTCAAGACTGCGCTTCTCCATCTTCAAAGCCAGCATGGGCAGGTGCAGGCCCTGGGACCCCCTCATCCTCATCTTGCTTGGTTTCTATTTTTGCCTTATCTCTGTGACTCTTCCTCTTTGCTCATCTGTTTTTAAGGGCATGCTTGGATAATCCAGGACAATTTTCCTGTTATTAAAGTTAACAAATTAATCTTAAATTGTTCTGCAAAGTTTCTTCACAGCAGTACCTGAATTAGAATCTTGACATCTTTAGTGAATCAGCCAGCTACAGCAATGATCAACAATGTGTCAATCTTGGATAACCAGGGTTTTTTGCTTTTAACTACTGTGATTTTAATGAAACACTTGAGATATAATTCACAAGCCAGACAATTCACTATTTAAGGTGAATATACAATGTTTTTGGCCTATTACATTATTTTTAAATTGTAGAATATACACACACATATAACATAAGTTTGACATTTTAAGTAATTCAGTGGAATTAATAACATTTACAATGTTGTGCAACCATCACCACTATCTATTTCTATAATCTTTTCACTACCCCAATTAAAAATTCTGTAACCTCTGAGAAATAACTCCCCATTGCCCCCTCCCAGATCCTAAGCTCTAATTTACTTTGTCTCAATGAATTTGAGGTACAGCTACCTTAGGAGTGAAATCATGTCATATTTGTGTCTGGCTTACATCATGTAGCATGTCTTCAAAGTTCATCCCCTTTATGGTTGGATAACATTCTATTTTATAGATATACCACATTTCATTTTTTTATCCATTCATCTGTTGATAGACATTTGGGTTGTTTCTACCTTTTGGCTGGGGTAAGCAATCCTGCAAAGAATACTGGCACGTAAGTTTCAGCCCCTGCTTTTAATTCTTTTGGGTAGATGTGGGGAGCAACTGAGACTAGACTAAGTTACTGGAATTAAGACTTATTCTATGCATCTGCTCTCCCACAATATGGCGCTGAGAGAAAGAGACCAAACAACCTCTATGCAGCTGCCTCATCAGTTTGACAAGCTGCAGGAGCTGATCCTGCTCCTGATTGGAGGAGAGCAGCGTGCTCAGCATGTGGATAGCAGAGTTGGGATTGGTGGAAGAGGACTATAAAGGAGGAGAGAGACAACATGCACCAGGGTACATCTGAAGGAACACCTGTGCAGCCCCCGAGAGAGCCGGCCGGCGGTGTGCCGCTTCTCCGTGGAAGTGGGGAAAGTGGCAGGGGGAGCCGCCCCTCCACAGAGGTGGAGGGGTCGGCAGCCAACCCGGGAAGGACCAACAGCAAACCAGGGAAGGGCCGAGCAGACAAAAGAACAGCGCAGGGTCCTGTGTCATTCCTCCGCGAATAGGGGAGCGACAGGTAGATACCTAGGAGTAGAACTCCTGGAACATATGGCAATTCTATATTCAGTTTTTTGTGGAACCACTGAACTGTTTTCCACAGGGTCTGCCCCATTTTACATTTCAAATAGCAATGAACAAGGGTTCCAATTTCTCCACATCCTCCTAAACACTTGTTTTTGATAATAGCCATTCAAAAGGATGTGAAGTAGTACCAAGTTGTGGTTTTGATTAGCATTTCTGTAATGACTAATGATGTTGAGCATCTTTCTTATGCCTAAATGTCCATTTGTAATTCTCCTTTGGAAATACATTTATTCAAATCACTTATTTTTTTAAAAAAATTTATTTATTTATTTGAAAGGCAGAGTTATAGAGAGGCAGAGGTAGAGAGGTCTTCCATCCACTGGTTCATACCCAGATGGCCACAACGGCCAGAGCTGCGCTGATCCAAAGCCAGGAGCCAGAAGCTTCTTCTGGGTCTCACACATGGGTGCAGAGGCCTAAGGACTTGGGCCATCCTCTACTGCTTTCCCAGGCCATGGCAAAGAGCTGGATTGGAAGTAGAGCAGCCGAGACTGGAACTGGCACCCATATGAGATGCCAGCACTGCAGGTGGCAGCTTTACCAGTTATGCCAGAGTGCCCACGCTTTACTTATTTTGGAATGGCTTGTTGTTAAGTGGCAGGAGGGAGTTCTTTGAATATTCTGGATGTCATAAGAGATGTAAGATTTGAAGGTATTTTCTCCAAATTGTTGTCTTTTTATTCTGTTAATAGTATCCTTTGATGCACAAATCTTTTTAAGTCCTATTTACCTATTTTTCTTCTATTGCTTGTGCTATTGGTATTATTCCCAAGAAATCATTGCTAAATCCAGTGTCATGAAGATTTTATTATGTGCTGGCCCATCAATGATCAAAAGCAGCAACTGGTAATCAGACCAATAAATCTGAGTTTTGGAGAACAAAGTCTGAGTATCCACTCTGGCTCCAGCAAGGCACACCAGGAATGTGGCTGCCTGATGGGGCATAGTAGCCACTTGTAAGAAAGAACTAAAATTGCCGGTGCCGTGGCTCAACAGGCTAATCCTCCACCTTGCGGCGCTGGCACACCAGGTTCTAGTCCCGGTCGGGGCGCCAGATTCTGTCCTGGTTGCCCCTCTTCCAGGCCAGCTCTCTGCTGTGGCCAGGGAGTTCAGTGGAGGATGGCCCAAGTGCTCGGGCCCTGCACCCCATGGGAGACCAGGATAAGTACCTGGCTCCTGCCATCAGATCAGCGTGGTGCGCCGGCTGCGGCGGCCATTGGAGGGTGAACCAACGGCAAAGGAAGACCTTTCTCTCTGTCTCTCTCTCTCACTGTCCACTCTGCCTGTCCAAAAAAAAAAAAAAAAAAAAAAGTACTAAAATTGACTCAGGCTTACTAGCTTCTTCTAAGCTCTCTGCTGGTGCTGCAATGGGGCTGTTAAAACCAGACTTCCAAAATAGCTGGCTCAGTCAGCCCCTGTCAGTTCAATTGCTGTTCGGATAAAGGGTTCGATTCTTGGCACTTCCTACTCCACCATCTTTCCTGATGTCATCTTTAGGTACCTAGATTTTTTTGACCAGAACTCTGGGAATTTTAGTCCCAATAAAAATTTTCCCTTCCACCCAACTCATACTGGCAGGCTGCATGCTGATTCTGTCAATTGTATCTTTCACAGGGAAGCCAAAGTACCAGTTTCCTTCTGTTACAACTGAGCTCTGGGCGCCTCGTTCCTACAACTTCAAGCTCCTTCCGCTCTGTCCAAGTCAGTTGCCATTCTCATCCCACCCATGGACTGGCATGGATGGTAATGCCTATCAATGATCTCACTTGATGGTCAAAAGTGAGGAGGGGGATAAAATACATAGCTCATCTTAAGAGCTGAATTTGGAACCTCTGTATTGCTTGTAACTAGAATACATTTTTCCAAAAAAAACAAAAAATGAATGCAATGTCCAAAAGGGTGGTTTGGTATCTGTGACATCATTAATTTTAAGTCAATTACAATCCCGTAAATCTTTTGTAAACTTGTGTTCACAAAATATATCACCTGTTATAACAGTGGAGTAAGACTTTCTGAGTCTTTAGGTTTTTGAAGCCTATTAAATGGCTTTTAAAAAAAGGATTTACTTATATATTTGAAACAAAGAGTTACAGAAAGAAGGATTTCCCATCAGCTGGTTCAATCCTGAAATGGCCACCCCAGCTGAAGTCAAGAGCTTGGAATTCCATCTGGGTTTTCTATGTGAGTGGCAGGGGTCCAAATAATTGGGCCATCTTCCATTGCTTTCCCAGGCACATTAGCAGGTAGATGGATCAGAGGTGGAGCAGCTGGGACTCAAACCAGCACCCATATGGGATGTTGGCACTGCAGGTGGTCTCTTAACCTACTGTGCCACAACACTGGACCCTGGCTGTATGTCTGTGCCATGAATTACCCTATCAACATCAAATCTCTTAACTCAAAAAAGATAAAGATTTTTTTAACAAAAGTTTTTTTTATTTCATGTACAAGTATTTGTATGGTGATAAACTCAAGGAGTCATCAAATATTTGTATAAATCTGGGGCAACAGTTATTAAGCACCTTCAGAGGTTTCCACAGTTTAGGAATTTACCATTTAAAAACTTTTAGAATGAATCTAGTAAAGTGAATAAAATAGTTATAAAACTTATAAAATCATGATGAACATTTGATACAGAAGGCTTGATATGGAATGATAAATACAAGAAGAAAGAGTAATTTATGAGGTTGCACTATATAAAAGACTCAGATGTTCCCCAAAGCTTATGATTGTTGGGGACAAAATTGACTCTGAAAACAAACTCCAATCATTTAAGGAAACACTTTCTCCCAACTTAGTTTCCAATGTGCTGCACAAGCAAGTGAGGACAATGGTAGGAGGGTATGTAGGTGGAGGCATTGAGTACACTGGGATTTGAAGAAATGGGGAGGGATCTCTTGTCCAAGGAGAATTTCAGGAAAATTTTTTCTATGTTCTCAAGTATAAGTGTTCTTTGGCAAAATATGTCATTTTCTCTGTGTAGTTATTTAAGGGTTTTTTTTTTTTTTAATTGCCATTCATAAATCCCCTCCCCTCACCCATTTCTCTTGGGCTTTCCATTCCTGCTCTTGGATAATCTCTTCATGATACTTTGAGTCTTCTGTACTCCCTTATCCCATCCTTTATTGACTCAAACACCTTATGCTCAACTTTCAGTCCAAAATTTCTATTGCTTTAGGACTCTGGGAAGCAGTTGACAAAAGACAACACTAGCTACTAATGGAAGAGGTTCTCTAAACAAATTGTAAAAACATAAATATTAAATGTAGCAGTGGTCCCTTTAATTAGACAAACGAGCAATAAAGAGTCTGGACCATTAAGATAATTATTCAATTTGCTCTTCCTATACTGTGTCTTCAGATGCACATTTAGCCACTAAAGTTCAAAGATGGAGAACAAAAGGATAAGCAGATTCATGGTTATTTATAAATTGGTTCTCTGGAGCAAAGACAAAAACTGATGAACTGGTTAAGTCATCACCTTGTACCAGCTCTAAACTGTGTCTGTCTCAGACCTCAGACAAATCTCCGTGAGGAGAGTGGACTTCAGTGCTAGCAATGAAGGTGAAGACCAACACAGCACCAGAGACCACATGCTGGAATACAGGAGCTTTGGGAAAACAGGATGACTTTGGTAATCTCTGGTATAATTTAAGGCACATCAAAATAATTCCTCATCCTCAAACATCTGACTCTACACTTTGAAATTCCTATCATAGGATACTCCTTTGACTTAAGCCTTTGAGTATCAAAGGCTACTACTGAAATGCCAATACCTCATCTGGAAAAGGATGCTCATTATCATCCACAAAGTACCCATATATCCTCTAGGATGGGTAATTTCTTATCAAAAGGCAGAACATGGTCATTACAATGAGGGCCTTGGAATGAAGGTGATGAGGAACTAGGGAATAAAAAAATGGGAATATAAAGAGGGAAATCAGAGCACCAAGAGAAAAAGTAAGGGAGGGCTAACTCCCTCCTTCACTCACAACCTCACCTAGGCAGACCCAGGCTGGTGTGTTAAGCAGCTGATAGGATGGTAGGTACCTCAGAATGAGGCTGAGCTTTTAAGGCCACAAAGAGGGGGATGACTTAGGCCTTGGCTGGTTCTACTCACCACTGGGAGAGAGACTAGGTTTTGGGAAAGGTCCAGGGAACTGGGATGGGGTAGGTAATCATCACCCAGGCTTGTATAAGCTTATCTGGAGTTGGGCCAGGGTGGGAATTCTGTCCTCATACAGGGGGAGAAACTTTCCCATTAAAGAAGTGTATGTTGTGGGGAATAGTGGGGGGAAAGTTGTTGGGGCTCAGGCTGGGATGGGCCTGAACCTAGTGGTCACTCAGGCAGAGGACAGTTTTTCAGTCTGGACCAAGTAGATTCAAGTAGGATGCTCCTGTGAAATACTTGGAGAGGAAACACGGCAGTCTTGTCTTCATTTCCGCTCAATACAGTCCACTCCCATGGTGTTGTCAGGACAACGGCAGGTCCTGCTACCTGGAGTGGCCAAGCAGAGGTGAGTGCAGCCGCCGTTGTTCACAGAGCAGTAGTTGTGGCCTGCAAAAGGCAGAAATCAGTTCAACAGCCTTCTCTGACCTGACTCAACAGCCACTGAGAGACAGGACACCGTATTAACCTTACTTCATTTTCTGAGAGGCCAAAATTGTGGCCCATTCCAGGGGAACAGAGAACAGCTAAGCTAATCCATTGTTTGTTAAACCAGACAGGCAAAAACGCTGATTCTCAATTTGGGGGCTATACAAACTTACCACTAAAGCTATAAAACAGATCTCAGGGAGGGTTCTCCAGCTCTCATTAGAACATGGAGGCAGACTCTTAAAGCATAGAGCACTTTCTATCTACTTACACTCCTGGTTTCACTCTAACGGGGAGAAGGAGAAAAGTAGAGAAGCGGAGAGGCCTTTGAGAGGCAGCATGGTATGGACTCTGGAGCCAGGCTGGCACCATGAGAGGTGCGACTTTGAACTTGTTTCCATTTCCTCATTTATAAAATGAGCACAGCAGTGCCCACCTCATAGGGCTGCTGTGAGGATGAAATGAACTACGAATACAAAGCGAGTTGATCTATGCCAACTTACTAGCTCTCAGTAAATGCCAAACATATACTTGAAATTATTTTTATTAGTTATTGTTATCACTGTTTGGCCAAATATATGGACTTTAAATCAGCAGAGATCCGAACATTAATGTTCCATTTGGAACCTGAAGACTGTATACTTCTAGACCCAGTCCAAGACTCAGTACTTTATCTCTGTCTACTTCAGGCCTGGGTGTGTTCTATGTATTCACCTGGCTCATGTACTCAGTAATGAAGATCCTTGAGAGACAGGACGGCTAGCAGTTATACCGGCAGCAGCCACAGCGTGGACTCTATATCACCAGGTTGCCCCCAGGAGTATGGGGAGTAACAGTACAGGCGAGTTACCTTGGGGACACTGAGACAGGGCCGTGGTGATGCCATACAGCCGGGTCTGCTTGTGGGGGTGGAAGGAATCCGTCTCTTTGGAAACAGCCAGATCGACAGCCACCACAGAATTCCTACAGAGCACAAAAGTCAGGAGCTCAGAAGTACATCTGATGGTTTGAACCTTTCTCCAGGGAGTGACTTTTTTGCAGTTTTGGGTATAAACTGGAGGCCATAAGCAGATACGGTGGCCTTGCTCCTGAGACATCCCTCCCTCCTGGGGTGCATCAGGCCTGCATTTCTCTGGCTTCCTAAAGAAAGGTGATGGTCAGCCAGCTGTCTCCTCCCTCTCTAAATTCCAGGCAGGAAACAGGCTTTCTCTTCAGAGCCCTGGCCAGCTGCCTCCTCAGTTTCACCCCTCCTTTTGCAGAAAGGGTGGTCAACAAGGGGCTGTGGGAACATTGCGGTTTAAGAACCATAAACAGGCATGAGTGGACATGGGGGGAAGGGACAGACGTGCTCAGGAAGTCCAAGTTCACAGACTTGAAACTGCCCTGCCAGGAGCATCCAGATGACAAGGGGCACCTCCTGCTCCCCTTCTCCTCCACCCCCACCTGCATCCTGACAGCCCAAGGGTGAGGAAGAAAGGACATCTCTGCATGTCAAGGTCAAGACAAGGGGCCAGAGGAAAGGGCCTGGCTTCCCAGAGACAGAGTGGAGCACAGGCCCGCCCAGCCTCAGCAGCAGCCAACTTACGTCTTCCAGTCTGTGTAGTACAGATTCTTCCCGTAGCTCGTCACAGCAAAAGGATACTGGAGCCCTTCGAGGACCTTGCGTCTGCTTGGCTGACTGGGGTGCAGGCACTCTGCCCGGTTGGTGCCTGTGTGCAGCAAAGACAAGTCCCTCATTGTTCGCACCAGAAGTGGGCCCTTTGTGTCACAACTGGAGGGTGCCAGGGGCAGAGGTGGGAGAAATTTGGCATTACAGTGACAAATCCTAGAGAATACATGCAGCCTGGTCTTAAAACTGGAGAGCTGTCTCTCGCTCCTGTGCCTTGCCCCTTTCAACGATCGATACCCACTGCCACTCTGGCTCCCACACCTGCTTCTGCTGGGGAGTCGGGGGCTGGGGCAGAGAAAATGCAACTCGGCTCAGCTGGTCTGGAAGCAGCTGGTGCCTAGGTCTGCTCCTACCCCCAGGCTCCTTTCTCTCGGGAGGAAATACATCATCTTCCAGCTCTTGTCCAAGTTCCTCCTTCCTGAAGCTTCTCCAGCCCCTCCTGCTCTATGAATTCAGAGCCTTTAAGGATTGCTAACCCACAGCACTGGTGAGCAGCTGCACCCGGCTTCCATCAAAGGCCTGCATGATGACTGCATCTTAAGGCCTGGGATTTCACTGAAGTGCTCATGCCTCACTCTGTCCTAACGGGATGGGCACTGTGCCTCATAGCCTCTGCATCCCACGTGGCACCTGACAGAGTGTCTGGAACAGATATTACTCAATAGAGACTCCTACGGAGAGAGAAGATAGATGTTCCTCCCTGACTGAGCATTCTGCCCACATCCCTGGCCTGAGGGACACCCCACAGTTGCCAGGAAAGGGGCATACAGCAGGGACTGCTTGTGGGTGCTCTTACTTTATCTTTCTTGGCTCCAAGTCCTGCCTAAGCTTCTGGGGGACAGAGAGAGCTATGAAAAATGTAAGCTGTGAATTGCTTAACAGATATCAGGATGTCTACAGGTCTGTGTGGTACCACTTAGAACAGGAGTCAGACAGCTTTGGCTGTGAGGCAAAACCAGGAACAGTAGGCAGGTATTTATACAACAACTTAAAATGTAACATTTTGGGGCTGGCACTGTGGTGTAGCAGGTGAAGCTGCTGCCTGCAGTACTGGCACCCTATATGGGTGCCGGTTTGAGACCCGGCTGCTCCACTTCCAATCCAGCTCTCTGCTATGGCCTGGGAAAGCAGCAGAAGATGGCCTGACTCCTTGGGCCCCTGCATCCACATGGGAAGACCCAGAGGAGGCTCCTGGGTTCGGATTTGCACAGCTCCAGCCGTTGTGACCCATTGGGGAGTGAACCAGTGGATGGAAGACCTCTCTCCTTCTCCCTCTGTGGAACTCTGACTTTCAAATAAATAAATAAATTTTTTAAAAACAAATAAAACAAAATGTAACATTTTGAAATGCAAAACCCATAAAACTTCTGGGTTACATGACAGTAAGTGGCAGGTTAGATTTGGCCAAGGCTGTAGTCTGCCAAAGATGGAGAACTCTCCCTGGACAGGGGAAAGCCATCACCTGCATCCACCCAGCAGAGCTGAGATGAGAACGCGTCAAAGGTCAGCCCGTTGGGCAAGCCCAGGTCATCCTGCACAAGAATCCTGCGGTTGGTGCCGTCCATGTAGGAAGTCTCGATTTTGGGGTTGTCTCTGTTCCAGTCTGTCCAATAAAGGTTCCTGGAGGACGAAAAGAAGGGGAAAGAGGAAGAGAAATAAGAAAGACCTATGAGAAAAAGTTTATGAAACAACTCTTTTCCAAAGAGATGAGCAGATGTGAAAACAGAATGGAGGGGGCTGGTGCTGTGGCATAGTGGGTAAAGCCACCACCTGCGGTGCCAGCATCTCATATGGGTACTGGTTTGAGTCCCGGCTGCTCCACTTCCAATCCAGCTCTCTGCTGTGGCCTGGGAAAGCAGTAGAAGATGGCCCAAGTCCTTGGGCCCCTTCACCCAGGTGGGAGACCCAGAAAAAACTCCTGGCTCCTGGCGTGGGATTGGTGCAGCTCCTGCCATTGTGGCCATTTTGGGAATGAACCAGAGGATAGAAGACCTCTATCTCTCTGCCTCTCTGTAACTCGGCCTTTCAAATAAATAAATCTAAAAAAAAAAAAAAAAAAGAAAGAAAGAAAAAAGAAAAGGAAAGAAAGAAAACACAGAATGGCTATACATGATCTGCAGATGATGTGACATGAGCTCTCTTGCAGACCCTGGAATTTGCTTATTCTGTTACTAACACATTCAGTTCCCTTTAACATAACTGATAGGCTATGTCAATAGGGTTGTTAATCAAACAAAAGCCTTTAACTGCTGAGAATTCCCTGTATTATGCCACCAGTCCAGAGGGCACAACAGATGCAGGGGGCCAGACAGAGGTAAGATGCAGAGGCTGGCAGAGGCTGCGGTCAAGGTGTCTGCCCCTGAGGAGTTGGCTGAGGGGCCACAGAATGAGAGGATGTAGTCCCAAAGGGAAGGAACCCAAGCATGAAGGAGTTGCAGGCCTGGGGTGTGAGGTTCAGAGCCTACAGTGAGGGGAAGCTAACAAAGGTGGGGATGAGCTGAAGAACCCCACAGGCACGTCTCCCCAGGGGTACACCTAGGTGCTCTTTGGGGGTTTATACAGCTGGAGTGTTGATCTGTACTCAATCCATAGGGAAAATACCCAACTTCTGAGCTGTCACCTTACAAAGCCTTGGCAAAAGGTGTGCAAGCGGGGCATGGTCGCAAGTCCACATTGGAACACGTGCCCCGCGTTCTACTGACTATAGTCACGTATAGCACCCTCCATCCTGTACTACTTCACCACTGGAGTCAGAGCCTCACATCTGGGAACATCCGGAAGGGCAGATGTGGGTGGAACAGAGGCACACACATATTCACGCAATGATACCCTCTCACGGAATCCGTCACGATGCCTCGGGGGTTCACCAAATCGGTCTCGAACAGCACCCGGCGCTGGGTGCCATCCAGCTTGGCAACTTCTATCCGGTCCAGCTGAGAATCCGTCCAGAAGATGTTGCGGCCCAGATGGTCAACGGCGATGCCTTCCGGGCTCCCGAGATCTAGAACCACACAGAGAGCGCCGCTGACTTTTTTTGTCCAAGCAGGTGCCGACTTGGTTTGTTTCTGATTACTCAGTGCTCTTTCCCATGACGTCCACTCCCTGTGGCTTTGAATGTGAAATGCCTGCTGTTTATAGACAAGCAACCCTCAGAGTGACAAATCCGACATCATTCATTTGCTCACTGCGCTGGGGACCAGGACTGTAATGACAACTGTGCTGTTGCCCACAGCCCAGGAGAGACCCAGGGCCCAGCCTGGGGAAGCCACGGAGGGATTCCCAGGGAAGTAGCTTCTTGAAGCTGGCTCCTAAGGATGGATAAGAGTGTGTCAGGCAAAGATGCTATATGAGGGTTTTCAGGTAGCAGGATCAGAATTTAAGGAAAGCTCAGACCTGGCTTGATGTGAACTGTATGTAATCTTACACAGCTGGAGACAAGAGGTGGGACAGTGGCCAGAGATGCAGTTAGGGTGCTGAGATAACAAGCTTTGAGCTTATCTCATGGGCCAAGGGGAGGCCCAGAAAGATCTTAAGGTGGGGAATGGAACACATGGAGCTATGGTATTTGATAATTGTGTGTTAGAAAGGTCATTTCAGAGAAACAATACCTCCAAGAAATTGTAGCTGTTACTTCATAGAAGTATAAGGGGTACATAGATGGAGTGACAGTAATTACAAATAAGCCTCCTGGAGGTCTCCACTGGTCCACAACAACTGGTTTCAAACCAAGGGTTGCCACTGGGAACTTGCAATGTGAGTCTTGTGCTCCCTTTTAAGTCATATTTGTTGAAGATAGCAATGCTTTTCTTAAACTTTAAAACAAAGCAAAACAAAACAAAACAAAAACAAAGAAAGGCAACTTGGGTTTTATTGGTACCACTGATGATTTTTTCCCTCTACAGATGAGAGGACTGAAGGCCACTGAGTACAGTGTACACAGGAAGGGGAAGAGGATGCCCCATTTGAGGAATCTGGGCTGTGAAGACTGGGTTCCTCCATCAAGTTAAAAGCACTGCAGACCCTCGGCTCCCTGGGTTCAGGCCTTCACTGGGCCCCTAAAACAGAAACACTGAAGTCCGGGAAAGGACATTCCCAAGGGACATTTATGAAGACTCAGAAACCACACTTGAACGAGGTCTGTACTACCCAAAATAAAGTGGGGAAGTATACAGTATTCAAATACTTCCCACCTCCCTGAAGGTACAGAGACAGGGAAACTGATCCCCTGTCAGTCCCTTTGTGGCTTTCAGACAGAGCAGATCACTGTGGGGGTGTATTTGAAATGAGCACATTCTGTGTGAGAGACACGAGTGGCTCAGACTTGGAGAGGGGGAAGGGGAGGGGGAGGAGGACCAAAGCTGATCAACAAGAAAATCAATAGGATACCAGCAGGGAAACCCTGGAGGAAGCTCCATGTCCCGCCGTCTCTCTATAACATCTGGTCCTGACAACCAAAGCCCTTCTCCACCCCCAACCAGAAAGAACTCCCTCGGGGGCTGTGCTGGGAAGGCTTGCCCTTTACTGTTCAGTGGGAGGAAGAAGCCTAGAGAGCAAGGTGACAGAGGTGACAGAGCTGCACTGCTCCTGTCAGAGGAGACAGATTACCATCGTTCCTAGAATATTTGGCTGGGACTTCACCTCAAGGGAAGAGAAGTCCAGGATTCGGACTGAATGAAATAAGGAAGAAAAGATAACCACCGCCACTCTCATGCACTAGGGAAATCCAACCTGTACCACGCAAGTTCCTGTCCCTCATATTAATATATAAATACATAGAGTTCTTTCTTTGCACAGATCCTGTTTTGGTTGTGTTCTGTTTCCCCAGTGAGTAGGCTTTCTGCTTGGAATGTTTCTTGCTGTGCTTCAAGTTTTCTTGGATGACTATCAGGTCCAAAAACAACAGGAAATAGCAAATGATGACATACTCCCCACTTCCACTGGGTTTTTAAATCAAATAGTAGATAATAGTAGCAACATTTTTGAGAGAGAGAGAGAGAAGATGCAAAAAAGGCATTTTTGAACTTCATTAAACCAAAGCATGAAAACGAGCAGACTTTATATAGTCTGTTGGCTCCCAGAGAAGGATTTGGGGTCTGTATCCAAAGCCAGACATAGTGAATTCAGCCTCAGCTTCTTGTCTCCTGTGAAGGAGCCAAGGAAGGGAAAACATGCCCCAGGGGTTGTTCACCAGGATAGGGACGCTTCCAGAACATCAATTGTTAGGGAGACGTGTAAGCTGGAAACCGAAAAAGCTACATTCGTTCCTAAATAAAAAGAAAATATGACGGGGTGGTGCTGTGTGCAGTGGGTTAAGCCTCAGCCTGCCGACTCTGGCATCCTCTATGAGTGCTAGTTCTAGTCCTGGCTGTAAATGCCCTAGATATGAACTGGGGAGTTAGTGTTTTGAGTGTTTTGAAAATTAATGGTCAGGGCACCAGGGCTGTGGCATAGGGGGTAAAGCTGCTGCCTGAGGTGCCAGCATCCCCTATGGGCACCAGTTCAAGTCCCGGCTGCTCCACTTGTGATCCAGCTCTCTGCTAATGCACCTGGGAAGGTAGCAGATGATGGCTCAAGTACTTGGGCCCCTGCACCCACGTGGGAGACCTGGACGGAGTTTCTGGCTCCTGGTTTCAGCCTAGCCCAAACCCAACCATCATGGCCATTTGGGGAGTGAACCAGCATATGGAAGATCTCTTTCTCTCTCTCTCCCTTCTCACTCTGTCTTTAAAATAAAGAAAATGAACCTTATAAGTAAATAAAAAGAAACATGAAATAAGGCTCAAAGACTTCAAAGATGGCCCTTTGATGTGTACATTTGACAGAGGAACAAAAGTAACTTCACAACAAGTACCATCAGCTTGATCATGTCTTTTGAGCAAAAACATTCCCAGCTAAGCTGATGAGTCACTGACCTATTAAGCAACATGTAATTCTTGACCTTTTCAGAACAGGGTCATTTTTGCCTGGATTTTTGTTGTAATGGTCTTTAAGCCAGATAAAGGACACCTGTTGTAAAACAGTCCTGACTTGTTGAATGTAGGCAATAAAACAATGTAGAGTTCTTGATTTCAATTGGTATCCTTAAGGGATTGGGGTTAGGTGGTGAAGTGCAGGCTGTGCCAAAGCATCAGACACTTTATCATCAGTGACGCAACAAAAAAACAGAAATGTCGGCAGCATTCAGCCTGATCTGTTGTCCTTTGGTGCAGGCAATCAGAGCGAGTGCAGTGGGGACAAGGTGAAGAAGGGAACCTACCCCAGCTTGTGATGTGACAGCTGAAGTGACAACCCCTTAACTGGACAATTGTGTTGGGAACAGGTGCAACCATCGGAGTTGCTATTTGCTACATGCTTGTGATTCTCTGTACGTTATGGTTCATCTTCTTGCTGCTTTTGGGAAAATCCAAGTGGAACGCCTCATGGGACAGACACTCAGACAATCAATTCCAGGCTTAGAAGCTCGAGGAAGAATGCATGTTCAACCCTGCTGGCGAGTCTGACTTTTATTGTTCATGAAAACTTGATGACATAAAGCTTTCAGAGAAAGGCCTAGGCACTAGCCTTGTTTCAATTTTCTCCTTCTTAGGCTTGCAACAAAGGGGCTCATGATTTAATTAAGAGTCCTTGGAGAACTCTTCATGGGAGCTAGAAACAGTGGTGCTTTGAAGTAGAGGACTGGCCCTTCTCACACCACCAGACCCTGTGTCTGCCTGTGTGTTCCACCCCTCCACACTGTGTCAACAGCCACGTAGGCTGCTAGACGTCAAACCAAAAAGGAAAAATGATACTTGCTTGCCCAATGCTATGGCTTGAACATAATTTTTTTCTTTTTCTTTTTTTAATTTATTTTCCCCCCTCACAGAAACCTTTTATTTAAGGAGAACAGACTTCATGCATTTCATAAGTACAACTTTAGGAATATAGTGATTCTTCCCAGCATTCCCACACTCCCACTCACTCTCCCACCCCTCCCCTTCCTCCCTCTCCCATTCCCAGTCCCATTTCTCTACTAAGATCCATTTTCAGTTAGCTTTATATACAGAAGACCAACTTGGCACTAAGAGTTCAACAATTTGCACAGAAAAGAAAAGACGAAAAACAAAACAAAATAAACTGTTCCTCTACTGTTGAGACAAAGGCTGTTCAAAGTCATTGCATCTTGAAGTTAATTTCACTTTTTTTTCTTTAGAAGCTTAATTAACTTTAAAGAAGCACCTCAGAATGATATATCTTTTGTGTGCACTTATAATACAACTCTTTGAGGACAGAGGTCCTGCATGGGAAGTTCATGCAGTGACTCTTGTGTTTAATTTAACAATTAACACTCCTACGTATGACATCAGTGATCACCCAAGGCTTGTGACATGAGCTGCCAAGGCTATGGAAGCCTTCTGAATCCACAAACTCTGTCAGTATTTAGACAAGGCCATAAACAAAGTGGAAGTTCTCTCCTCCCTTTGGAGAGAAGCACCTCCTTGAACATGACTTAGTCCCCAAACTTATTATGGACTATAAATCCAAAAGCTGTAAGTTAATGGCAGCTAAGTTTAGAATCCTGTTTCTGTATAATTCCAAAGTACATATCTTTCTACCATGTCATATTGCCATCAGTCTCTTTCACGCATCTGCTGTATGTTGTGGGACTTAATGCTTTTGTGGCATTAATTTTTTCCATGTTTAAATTGAGGTTTATTCTGTGTTTCTTCATGGGAATATTATGAGGATAGTAAAATATAAATGTAGAAGCATTCTAAAAAATTTCATATATAAGAACATGGGAACTTAATCTAATTATGGAGTCTAGGAGCTGGGCAAAAGGTCCTTCGGTTACTGGAGTTGTGCTGGTTGTCTACAGAGTTGGTCATAAACACCCAGCTGGGCCAACCACTCTTGCTTCCTGGCTCAACATGTGATCCTACCTCTGCCAGTGCTGTCATTCTCAAACACCACCCTCCTCAGAGGCCAAACCAAGGGGATGCCTGATTGTGGACTTGAGCTTCTAGAACTTGAGCCAAAATAAACCTGTTTCCTTCTTGCATAGCTTGTCTCAGGTATTTCATTGTAGTAACAAAATCTGACTAATGCACCCACCTTGTCGAATGATGGTAGATGGCTCCCCACCATGTAGACTGGCTCTCCCGATGGAAGGCTCACTAATGTCCGTCCAGTAAACCATCTTGTCCACGCAGTCAAAGGCCAGTCCGATGATGACTTTATCCTAAAAGAGAAGACCAATGAGAACTCTCTACCCACAACCACCTGCATGCCTAATAATCATGAGAACCTCGGCATGTGCTTATAGGCACTTGGACATCTTTTTAAATGAAGTATGTTAAAATCTTTTGTCTATTAAAATTTTATTATTGAACTGTACAAGTTCTTCATATTTTAGACAAAACCCTTTTCTCATACACACATGTGCAGATATGCTTAGACATGGAAACATGTACATGTTTACTTTCTCTCAGGTAGCCTGCTATTTCTTCTTCTTCTTTTTTTTTTTTTTGGACAGGCAGAGTGGACAGTGAGATAGAGAGACAGAGAGGCTGTTTCATTTTTTACATGATGTTTCTAAAGAGCATATATTTTTATTAAATCAATTTTTTTTACTCTTATGACTAATGCTTTTTCTATCTTAAGGAATCTTTGCCTCCCTGATGGTTGTAAAGAAAAAGAAATAAAAGACATAAATATTGGAAAGGGAGTAAAACCACTCCATTCTAAGAGAATATGATTATTGAGAGTCCTTGAGAACCTAAAAACTTATCACAACTAGAATTGAATCTAGCAAAGTTGCTGGATATAAGGTCAACATAAAATCATACTTCTATATGTAAATAAAAGAATAGAAAATATTTTTTAAAAACAATTTTTGCAGCATCAAAAAACACAAAATATGTAAGAATAAACATTTTTAAAGGTGTGAGGCTCCAAACTGAATACAACAAAGCATTACAGAGTAAAATTAAAGACAATCCAACTAAATGAAGAGGTAAGTTAGCACAGTGAACCATAAGATTGAGAACTGCTAATGATATCAAGTCTCCCTAGAGTTACAGATTCAGTATCATCTTTATCAAAGTCCTAGTAGGCTTTTTTGATCGAATTTACATTCTTATTCTAAAAGATTATATGGAAATGTAAAGAATCTAAAATAGAACACTCTCAAAAAAGAACAAATTAGAAGATTCAAATTCCCTGATTTCAAAAACTTAATACTCAAGGCAGTGTGATAGACATAAGGTGAGATGAATAGATCAATCTGCCAGAACAGACCCCAGAAACAGACTTCACATACACAAAGAATTGTTCTATGACAAGGGCACCAAGATGCCAGTGAGGAAATACAGTGTTTTCAATAAACAATGCTAGAACAGCTGGATAAACATGTGGCAAGAAAGAATCTCAACCTGACTTTACCCATAGGCAAAAATTAAAAGCTGAAACTATCAAGAGCCTAAAGATATCATAATGAAATATCTTTACACCCTTCTTTTTTGCCTGTTTACTTGATTATTTTTCACCCACTTGAAAGGTAGAGCAATAGAGAACGAGAGAGCTTCCACCTGCTGGCTCACTCCCCAAATACTTGCAATATCCAGGGCTGGGCCAGGCCAAACCCAGGAACCAGGAACTCCATCCAGGTCTCCCACAAGGCTGGCAGGGGCCCATGCATGCCCTGACAGAAAGCTGAATCAGAAATGGAGTAGCGGAGACTGGAACCAGCACCCTGGTGTGGAATGTGGGTGTTGCAAGTGGCAGCTTCACAAGGTGGGGCTGGGGAGGTGGACAGTGGGCATTTGGGCAGTGATTAAGACACCAATTTGGGTACCTGCACCCCATGGTGCTTGGAATAAGAAATGGAGCATGTGCCCTCTGTGGGGTAGCAGGTGCTGGTTTGAGTATCTGAGTCTCTGCCACAACATGGGAAATCTGGATTGAGTTCCAAGCTCTGGCTTCAGCCTGACTCAGCCCTGGATACTATACGCACTTGAGGAGTGAACAAGTGAATGAAGACCTCACTTTATCTCTTTCCTCTGTTCCGTTGCCTTGCAAATAACAAATAAATAAATAAATAAAAATTTTAAAATGGTAAATGGTAACTGCAAACCACTTTGGATAAAACTGTGCTTTTAAATTTATTGTATTATCAATATAATTTTACATTATACATTTGCATTCACATTATAAATATATTATAGGTTCAGCATTTGAATTGCTACAAAATATGAAAGTTTTGATCACTGACATGATGCTGTAAGTGGAAAATTTCACACCCAACTGCATCTGACAGGTTGCAGTCAAAATGCAGGTGCACAAATACTGAATAAAACTGTTTTTACACTATGCATATATGTGAGAAATGAATTTCATGTTTAGATTAAGGTCCCTTATCCAAGATATCCCCCCTATATATATGCAAATATTCCAAAATCTGAAACACTTCTAATCTCAAGCCAATTCAGACAGAGGATACTCAAACCAGTACATATCATGCATATGTGTGTGCATGCCTGTGTCTATGTGTGTGTGTGTGTCTAGCTATTATCTATCTGGAAACCAGTATCTTCATGAAACAGATGGACAGTTTCCTGTCTTGTGGTGCTGATAGTGTTGATGGAAAGATATGCATCAGATACAGAACGCATACATGGATATTCAGTGTAGCAGGTAGTGCGAGGAATACAGTGAGACACAAAGCAGAGGCACAGAGCAGCAGAGGTTGCTCTCTGGATGGGGCATCTGACAGCCTCTCTGAGATGTGTTGCTTTGGCAGGAAGTTGCATGAAATGAGCTAATAAACTGGGCAAGTGTCTGGGGGTGATGGAACTCCAGGTGGGGTGGACACAGTAAGTACAAAGGCTTTGAAATGGGAACAAGCATGTTTTCAAGGCCTGGCCAGGGGCTGAAGCCAGTGAGTGAATTGGGAGTGGCAGGGAATGAGGTGGGAGAGATAGCAGGAGGCCAGACCCTTGGGGCTCTTTTGTTCTACCTTCATAATTTATATTTTTAGCTGCACATAATTATGGGGTAGAGTATAGTATTTCAAATCAGGGTAATTGGTGGATCTGTCATCTATCACCTCAGATGTATATCACTTCTTTATGTTTGCAACATTCAAAATTCTATTAGCTATTTTGAAATCTTCAATTATGGTCAACTACTTGTTGGCAACTTACTATGCTACAGATGTTACCTATAGGGTTTTTTTAAAAAAATATTTATTTACTTTCATATTATTGGAAATTTAAAGAGACAGACAGAGATCTTCCATCCATCAGTCCAACGCCCACAAAGCCATCAGCCCAGATCTTAATTGGGTCTGCCACATCGGGGACAGGGATCCAAGTATGTGAGCTATCATCTACTTCCTTTCAGGGTGCACCTTAGGAGGAAGCTGGATAGGAAGTGGAGTAGCCAGGACTCAAACCAGGCACTCTGATCTGGGATGCGGGTTTCCCAAAGGGCGTCTTAACTGCTACACCACAACCACCACCTTGCCTGCAGTTGTGAAGTCCCAGGAAGGACTGGATTTTCTCCTAAAGTCAATTGGGGACCCATTGAGGGTTCTGTGCAGGGCAAGGACATGAATCTGATGAAGGGTGCTTCGGAAGAGGCATTTGAGAATCCTCTTTTATTTTGGATACATTTGTGCTGATGTTTCTTCTCTGGCCCAAAAGAAGGGATATGGTAGGTGTGGCATCTGTGATGTGGAGATCCATGCAGCAAGGAAGAAAAGAGAAGCTGGAAGCAAGGCCTGAGACAGGCAAGATGCACACATGGAATCTTTCCAGGATTTCCCAGCAGGCCCTGGTGTGACCACTCAGGAATAATGGACCCGTCTGCTGGAATTTATTTTACAAGGGCTGATGACTTGGGCCCCCGGCTCTGCTTCATTCCTCATGAGGCTCTTACACCCCTCCCACTCTGTTGGCAACTCGGCCCCAAGTCCACTGTGAAAGCCCCCAGGTCTGTGTGGTTTCTTGGCAGAGGTCAGGGGTCCCTAATAAACAGAATAGCTTCACAAGTGACTGACTTATGCACAAAAATGTCCTATTCACCAAACGCATCTCTGAAGCTTTCAAAGGCCTTGAAGCCAGAGCTTGCTACTTGCAGCAGGGCAGACAGGAGACCTCGAGGTGTCTTTGGAAAGATGGAATCATGATCAACTTAGCAGGAACAGAAGGTCAAACCCAACAGGTGCATGCAGGTGAGATACCAAAGTCTGCAAAGGCCCCACCAAGGCATCACTGCATGGCCTTCCTAAGTCTGCTCCCATTCATTCTGAGCCTCCCAGGCAGCTCAGGAATACAGTGAACCCAGGACCATGAAGATGAGCAAGCCTCGTTCCAGGGTTTGAGCCCAGGCCCCTGTTTATTTCTGCAGGTCACAGAGCAGGAGCTGTCACCAGGTACAATCAGCCAGCACTCACCGGCATATGCAGTAAAGCCTTGGCTTCCGTCTTCTTCATGGTGTTTCCATCCAGTGGGACGTTCTCTATCTTCCCAGTCTGGGCAAAGAGGAGGTGGGTTCCAGGGGGCAGAGGGATCACAGCGGTAGGTACTAAGGGTCTCTGATGAATCGGTGGAGCCACAGTACTCAGACCTAGGTTGTAGTAGAGGTGGATGAGCAAGGCCAGTGCACACAAGGAACACACAGATGCACACATACACACATGCACACCGTGTGTGCACACCCACACATCAGTAACATAACCTTCATGGCCCAACAAACTGTGTAGCCACACAACACTCATTTCTCACCTGGAAGCAGCAGAAGTAGGATATGCTCAGCCAAATGACATTTGTGGACGAGATAATGTAGGCAGGGGCTTCACATTCAGCGTCAGGTGGGGGAAAAAGTGCTTAGCTTCCCTCTTAACAGAGATCACTTGGCTATTCACGCTCTGCTTTGCACACTGGGGCTGGCCACTGGTGAACCAAGCACTAACAGCAGCAGCCTGAATCTCCTGCCATGGGGAGTCGCCTTCTAATGGAAGCTTCGCTGCAGGAGCCCAGCAGAATGAGCCTGCCCTATGGGCCCTGTCCCACGGCCATGGGCTGGGACTGCTGCGCATGGGACAAACAGGAACATGTTCCTTCTGGGCTTTGAAGAACTAAGGGATGGTGGGGAACTCCTTCTCCCTCAGCTTCAGCCTTGTCCTCCCAACTGCTGACCTTGGCCCCTGGCACCACTTCCTGACTCACCTGATGACACTGTCCCAGGAGTGCACAGGTAGCTGGTGCTGCAGGGGAGGAGCACTGACCAGGTGCTGGGGGACCTGGGGGAACCTAGGACTGGGCCCTGTCACTCTCTCATTGTGTGTGCACCTTTCTAGGCTCTGTCCTCTTCTCTCAAAAGTGAGACCTGGACCAGGTCATTGCCAAGGTCATTTCCAGTTCTCTCCCTTGTCTGTCTTGCCTGTTACACCTAACTAGTGACATAAACCAGTCCAGTGCACCTCTAGAATCTCCGAGTTCCATCAGTCCACTCCAGACTCACTGCCAGCACCCTGGGTCGGCCCCTCCCATTCCTCACCTGGCTTAATCCTAAGCCTGGCAAGAGAGGCTGAGGGCTCTTATGCCCGCATCCCAGTTCCTGCTGTCCAGCAGTGATATCGCTAAAACCGAAATCTGCTTCGCATCATTGATGACCACTCGAAAGCCTCCCAAAGCCTTCTGGGCTCCCTGCTGTCCTCGGGACCAACACCCAGGTCCACAGCTTAGCACGGACACTGCTCTGCTGCCCGGAGCAACAGCCTCACTCCCTCCACCCTGCCTGCGGCTCACTCCCTGCTCCATGCTCTGGAAAGTACCCTCGCCCTCCCCCCCCAGCCAACACCCTGCACAAGCCCTGCACTGCCCCCGGCTGCAGGCCTGTCCCTCAGCGTCCTCAGGGGCTGGCACTATGACTGTCCGCTGGGTATCCACAGCGCTGACGCTCGGCTAACACTGGCTGTGTGAAGGCTGTGAGTAACCACTTCTCGGTCTCTTAGCAGCTGATGTGGGGGTGGGGGAGGTTGTCCATCTATGATGATTATTAGGTAATTTGAGAACAGAGACTCAAGGATTGGTTAGGTCTGCTTGTGGCATCTGTGACAGTGACCAGTTTCCGGGCCAGAACCAGCATTTCAGAGCTGAGGGCGCGCCTCAGGATGATTTTGTTCCTATCTGCTGTTGAGGCTGAGGCTGGAGGAGCCTCATTCACAGCCACGTAGCCCAGCAGGGTCTCAGACAGGGCCCCCAGCCCTCAGCATGGCGCCTTCCCAGTGCTATAGGCAGGCACAGCAACCTTTGTGGTGGTCTGTGCCTTGGATTTGAAAATCCACCAGAGCCCCTCAAGGCCCTGGGCCCTGACTGTGAAGGAGGCGAGTGCTGCAAGGGTGAGAATGGGCTCCCCCCTACCCCGAGGAAGCAGAGACCCAAGGAAGGGCTCGCCTCCCCACCCCCACCCTGTCCTGCTGTGGCGCATCCCAGCATTCACCTGGGGGACCACCAGTGTTCACCAGAGCACCATCCGCTCCCTGCCACATCACAGTGGCGGTGCAGCAGGTCGCACTGAGGACTGACAGAACTTGCCAGTGCGTGGAGAGGGAGGGGAAGGTGAGAAGATGGAGAGGGGCAGAGGGTAGAAGGGGGTCAGGGAAGGGGACAGGCACTGGTTATTCGGCTCCGGAGGCCCTGCTGGGGCATGAATCCAAGCACAGCCCGCCCTCCACTTACATGGGGGCCTCATCCCGGGTCTGGTCCTCGTGCCCTCCACCTCACGGCCGTCGCGATCCACGCACCAGCAGTAGCCCGTGCTGCCGTGGCACTGGGTAGGCGAGTAGTGTCCGTGCTCATCACACTCGGGGACAAACAGCCCTGGTGGGCGGGGCCGCTGTGCATCTGCTGCCCCTGCTGCTCCAAGAATGTGTTCTCGCTCCAGCTGGCACCGGGTCTTCTCCAGCTCTGTCAGAGACAAGCAAAGGAGGGCTATGGGTTTGGGCTGGGGTTCTGGGTGTCCACATGGAACTCAGGAAGCTTCCTGAACACCATGGGGTTTGTTTCATTAATTTCAAAAAGTTTAAAACATTGTGATTATATGATAGATTCAATCATCAAGATTATATTTTTCTAAGCAGTTCTTTTTAGGAAAAAAATCTTAAATCTTGAGGTACAACTGACATGAAGAACAATAAAATGAAGCATTTTTGAATGTTTTGATGTTCCCTGAGCATCACCACAATCCAGCTTTGGTGCATCTCCGTCAGCCCGACAGGAAAGCCAGGCCCAGTAACTGGCTGCTTCCCACTACCCCAGACCTGTCAACCGCCAGCCTGCATCCCGGGGACCCCTTTCCTGCCTGCCTGAGTAGATTCCCAGCTCTGAGCAGGCAACGCAGACTGTCCCCACCCTCCCCTCAAGGGGCACCTCTGGGCTGGGTCACAGGAAGAGCAGGGCCTGCCCTCCAGCAGCTCACAGTCTTGGGGGAAGCCCCAAGTAAACATGACCCCACAACTGCCAATCAGGGCAGGACTGAACAGAGAGGCCCAGGGCCCTGCTGCTCACAGAACTTGGCTTCAGGGCATGGAAAGCAGAGGCTGCCACTTCCTTAGCTGCACCTGACTGCAAGATTATAGTTAAAAAGCTCAAGGGCAGCACTCCATGGACTCCTTGTTAAGAGGTAGGAGAGTGAATAATTTTGCTCTGTGGGCCTGCAGCTACCCAACCCTGTGGTTGTAGTGTGAAAGCACCTGTAAATGAACATGTAAATGAACTAGTGTGGCTGTGCTCCAATGAAACCTAATTTACCAAAGCAGAGAGAGGTTTGCTTATGGCGATTACAGCTGGCAATCCCTTACCTAGGGCTCTACTGGCTGTGTTGGGGGATTGTATTTATGTTATATAATATACTTGTGGGTGAATCTATATTAGCATATACTAGTTAATAATATGTGTAGTATCACAATATTACATAGTCCTTAGAATTTTGTAACTTGAAACCTTTTTTAAAAAATATTTATTTATTTGAAAGTCAGAGTTACACAGAGAAGAAGCAGAGAGAGAAGAGAGATCTTCCATTATTGGTTCACTCCTCAATTGGCCGCAATAGCTGGAGCTGCGCCTATCCGAAGCCAAGAGGCAGGAGCTTCTTCCAGGTCTCTCATGAGGTGAGGGGCCCCAGGACTTGGGCCAACTTCTGCTTCCCCAGGTCCAAGCAGAGAGCTGGATCGGAAGTGGAGCAGCCAGGACTTGAACTGGCGCCCATATGGGATGCCAATATTGCAGGTGCTATGCCACAGCACTGGCCCCTCTTGAAACTTGAAAGCTTATTGATTCTTTCCCCTTCGAATGGGGATGGTTGACCCAATGAGTCTCACAGAATTACTTGGAGGACTGAGGCATTCATGATAACACAAAGCACACTGGTGGACTTTTATCTGCACTCAAGTGTTCATCTGTGATGGCACCTGCACCAGGCAGACACAGTGACATTCAGCAGGTGCAAGCCAATGACTGTTTAAAGTACCCTTTGTCTGTGTTGCCAATTTGCATGTTGGCCTGCTTGCTACAATGGTTCCCTTGATTAGAAGCAGTTAGCATGTAAGGGAAAAATATTTGTTGAACCTGGCAAAGAAAATCTGGGAATGCTTTTCTAGTATGAAAACAAAACATCTGATATATGGAAGTGCCAAACAAAGATACGAATAAACCATCTGGTTAGAATAAAACTGTCACTTTCATACACTCTTGGACATAAGGCTTGTTTACTTCCTCAAAATCTTACATTTGTTTGGAGGTACAGAGTTTCCATAGGAGCTACCCCCATTCACCTACATACTTCACTGAGTTGTCATTGTCATCCTATGTGATCTACATGAGTGGTTGAAAGCCACAGGAGAAAACTGAAGCTCAGAGGCAGTGAAGGATGGCCCGGAGGCCACAGGGCAAGCTTTGGATTTCTGGTCCAGCCCCCGCCCCTCCTGGCCCCAAGTCTCTGTCTCCACATTCCCATTGCCCGTAACAGCTTGTCCGCACTAAACCTGTGACACCAACAATGATACACACACGTTTCCTTAACTACTGACTGCAATTTTCTGTGGACCCACAGACTGGACTTCTTCTCATCAACATCTGGACAAAGTGCTGATTTCCAGCTAAAACACAGGATTGGTGTTGTGTGTATTGTTGACCAAGCCACACTTTTAAGAGAGTACAGATTCTTCCATTTTATGTGGCTGACTGTTTTGTGTTCATGTGGTATTTGGTCAACACACAAATCTTGAGGGATCTAGAATTTCTTCAGTGGGACTTGTAAAGTGCTGTAATCTTGAACTTACAAAAAGAAGGAGGAAGCCTCAATTCTGAGTCAGGAAATGGAATTTCAAGCATGCTTACGGAGAGCTGATGATGTGATGAGCTCAGTGGGATTCCTGGGATGGTTCCTCAGCCTGGCCAGCAGGCAGTGGGAGCAGCCCAGGGGCTCCCAGGGGAGCCTCCCGCTGAGGGCCCCAGGCCTCCATGGAGGATTTTCCATCAAGGGCCCAGAGGATGGAGGGGCAGGGAGCTGGAGTAACACTCACATGGACATACTTCCTAGGCTTGCTTCTGGCTGATAAAATAACTCTGGCAAGCTGCCTCTTACTCATTGCCTCTGATCTGCTGCAGGAGGAAGACCTGATACTTACCTGACCAGTGGCAGGAAGTTTGGGATGACTTTTCTCAAGGTGAAGGCCAGGGAATGAGAGGGAGGGAAATTATGAAGAAAGCGCATTCTTGATCTCCAGATTTGCATTCCACTCCCTCGTCAGGTTAAAGCTGTGTCTGTGTTCTGTGAAATAATGGCTATTACAGTCTTGGATACACTCTGGAGTCGGGGAGGGGAGGAGTGGTCAGGAAATGTGGAGCCGCTCTGGGAAGAAAAGACTTGAAGCAACAGCAGGACCTGTGGGCTACCTAAGAGTGGAAGTGTCACAGAAAGCTTAGCATGGAAGGCTAAGCCTCTGCCTGTGGTGCCAGCATCCCAAGGCGCCAGTTCATGTCCTGGCTGCTCCTCTTCCAATTCAGCTCTCTGCCTGTGGCCTGGGAAGGCAGTGGAAAATGGCACAAGTATTTGGGCCTCTGTACCCTTGTGGGAGATCCAGAAGAAGCTCCTCACTCCTGGCTTCGCATTGGCCTGGCTCCGGCCATTTGTGGAGTGAACCAGCGGATGGAAGACCTCTCTCTTCCTCTCTGTAACTCTACCTCTCAAATAAATAAATTCTTTTTTTAAAAATGGAATTTTCATGGGGAGACACTGTTTATCCAATACCTTCCTGCACAGTCAGAGCTGTGCTGCTCCCAAGGGCTACACCTGCTCTCAGCACCTCCACAGCACACATCTTTGCATGCAGTAATGCCAGTGTGGCGGATGACGCCTGGCCTCTGCTGGCATTGAGACCCACAGCTCACAGCCTCATCTCATTAGCTGCCAAATGTTCCCGACAGCACATTTCCAAGAGTGGAGGTTCATAAGTAATCTTTTTTTTTTTTTTTTTTTGACAGGCAGAGTGGACAGTGAGAGAGAGAGACAGAGAGAGAAAGGTCTTCCTTTGCCGTTGGTTCACCCTCCAATGGCCGCCGCTGCAGCCGGCGCACCGCGCTGATCCGATGGCAGAAGCCAGGATCCAGGTGCTTTTCCTGGTCTCCCATGGGGTGCAGGGCCCAAGCACCTGGGCCATCCTCCACTGCACTCCCTGGCCACAGCAGAGAGCTGGCCTGGAAGAGGGGCAGCCGGGACAGAATCCGGCGCCCCAACCGGGACTAGAACCCGGTGTGCCGGCGCCGCAAGGTGGAGGATTAGCCTATTGAGCCACGGCGCCGGCTCGAGGTTCATAAGTAAAGAAGACACTGGCAGCCTGACATGGTCTTGATCCTGCTGTCCCCAGGGATTTGTTACAAACACTACTACTTGTAGAAAACACAGTAGATCCTTCTAGTAGCAGAATGCTCTTCAAGGCTTCTCCCAGCCTTCCAGGATTGGGGAGGAAGCAGCACGTCCAGGGAGCTGGCAATGAGCAAAGCACAGACAAAGAGTGGAAAACAGAAAGGGCATGGAAGGGCCAGCACTGTGGCACAGCAGGTTAAAGCCCCAGCCTGCAGTACCACCATCCCATATGGGTGCCAGTTCAAGTCTCGGGTGTTCCACTTCCAATCCAGCTCTCTGCTAATGTGCCTGGGGAAGCAGTGAAGGATGGCTCAAGTCCCTGGGCCCCTGTACCCAAGTGGGAGAGCCAGAAGAATCTCCTGATGCCTGGCTTCAGATCAGTTAAGCTCTGGTTATTGAGGCCATTTGGGGAGTGAACCAATGGATGGAAGATACCTCTCTCTATATAACTCTCTCAAATAAATTAAAGTATTTTTTAAAAGATTTTATCTATTAATTTGAGAGGGAGAGTCACAGACAGTGAGAGGAAGAGACAGAGAGAAAGGTCTTCCTTCTGTTTCTTCGCTCTGCAAACTGCCACAATGGCTGGAGCTGTGCTGATCCAAAGCCAGGAACTTCTTCCAGGACTCCCATGTGGTGCAGGGGCCCAAGCTCCTGGACCATCTTCTACTGCTTTCCCAGGCCATAGCAGAGAGCTAGACTGGAAGAGGAGCAGCCAGGACTAGAACCAGTGCCCATATGGGATGCCAGCACTGCAGGCAGAGGATTAACCTACTGCACAACAGCACCAGCTACAATAAAAGTATTAAAAAAAAGAGCATGCAACAGCAGGAAAAGCAATCAGCCCTGTAGCTTGTGAGTGCCATCTCTCTTGTCACCATTTGAAAGTGCACTGTTGAGCTTTCTTCATCCCTGTGTCCCAGAGTGCTCCCCCCCAGCCCCCTTCTAAAACCCTGCTGCTGTAGGCTTTCAAATCACTGTATGTAGGGGCTGACATGGTGGTGCCCCTGACATTAAGCCTCTAACTGAAACACCAGCATCC